CCAGGGTATTGCTTAACACAAATGGATGCCCTGGGCCCAATCACTGAAGTCATGGTGACTGAGAGTCCCTCAGATGTCTCTTAGGTTCCCACAGCAGTGATCATCTCCTCCAAGTCCTGCAGACTCCCAGGAAGGATACTTGCTGTCTCTGGGCCTGAGACCCCCACGCCTTCCCATTGTCTCTTCTGGCATGATAGTGGGGAGCCATCCATTGTGTTTTCTGAGTTGGTTTCTTATTTTATCCCCCCTTGGAAGCCCTGCTTAGTGTCTTAGGAGAGGAAGCCCCTCCACATCCTGGTGCTGGCTTCTTTCCTGTACTGCCTAGAAGCCCTTGCTTGTCAGTGATGCAGAAATGTAGTCTTTGGCTCAGGACATTTCCTCTGCTCTTGTTTTCTAAAAATTTTTATTTCTTTTGTGGTAAAATACACATAGCATAAAATTTACCATTTTAATGATTTTTAAGTGTACATATTGTTCACTGACACTGCCATCCATCTTCATGACTCTTTTCATCTTGTAAAACTGAACTTCTGTACCCATTAAATAAATTTCCAGTCCCTTCTCCTCCCAGCGTCTGGCAGCCACTATTCTACTTTCTGTCTATGATTTTGACTACTCCAAGTACCTCATACAACTGGAATCATACAGTATTTGCCTTTTTGTGACTGGCTTATTCCACTTAGAGTAATGTCTTTGTGATTTATCCGAATTTCAATTTCTTTCCTTTTTAAGGCTGAATAATATTCTATTATATGTATATACCTCATTTTACTTGTCCATTCATCTATCGATGGACACTTAGGTTGCTTCCATGCTTTTGCTGTTATGAATAAACGAATTTCAATTTCTTTCCTTTTTAAGGCTGAATAATATTCTATTATATGTATATACCTCATTTTATTTGTCCATTCATCTATCGATGGACACTTAGGTTGCTTCCATGCTTTTGCTGTTATGAATAAAGCTGCTATGAACTTGGTTGTACAAATATCTCTTCGAGACCTGCTTTTAGTTTTGGGGGGTATATACCCAGAAGTGGAATTGCTGGACCATATATCATATGGCAATTCTATTTTTAATTTTATGAGGAATTACCATACTATTTTTCATGAAGTTCAATTTGTCTGTTTTTTCTTTTGCTTCCTGTGCCATTAGTGTCATATGCAAGAGATCACTGGCAAATTTAATGTCTTGAAGATTTTGCCTTATGTTTTCTTCTAAGAGTTTTTATAGTTTTAGGTCTTTAATTCATTTTTTAAAAATGGTTTATTGTTAGTATATTACTTTTTAAGAAAGTTTGTTTCTTCTTTATTGTTAAAATAATGCATTCTAGTATTAGAAGGGATTTCACAAAAAACGGTATATTCTTTTTGCGTGTGTGGCTGGCTGGTACACAGTTCTGAACCTTCGACCTTGGTGTTGAGTCTTTGATGCATTTTTGGTTAATTTTTTTTTTTTTTGTCTTTTTTATTTT